GGAGCGGCCACTGCACTCCAGTCTGGGCGGCAGAGTGAGACTTCAACTCAAAAAAACAAACAAAACAAAACAAAAACCCAAAAAACTTGACCAGGCATAGTGGCTCAAGCCTGTAATCCCAGCACTTTGGGAGGCCAAGGTGAGAGGATTGCCTGAACTCAGGGTTTCAAGACCAGCCTTACAACTTTGTGAGACCTCATCTCTACAATAAATCAAAAAATTAGCTGAACGTGGTGGCTCATGCCTGTAGTTCCAGCTACATGGAAGGCTGAGGCAGAAGGATCACCTGAGCCTAGCAGTTCGAGGCTGCAGTGGCTGTGAGCATGCCACTGCATTCCAGCCTGGGCAACAGAGTGAGACTCCAACTCAACAAAAAAAGTCTTTCTCCAATTAATAAATCAAGAACAGATGAGTAGAGGGCAGCTACTTTCATTATAGTCCTGTGTGACTTGTTACACTGAAATTTTGTTATTCTTTCTTTTGAGTCTGAGTCTCACTCTGTCATCCAGGTTGAAGTATAGTGGCATGATCATGGCTCATTGCAGCCTCCAACTCCTGGACTTAGGCAATCCTCTCGCCTCAGGTTCCAAAGTAGCTGGGACTGCAGACACACACTTCTACATCTGGCTAAGTTTTTTATTTTTTGTAGAGAAAAGGTCTTGCTATGTTACCTAGGCTGGTCTCAAATTCCTAGACTCAAGCAGTCCTCTTGCATCAGCTTACAGACATGAGCCACCGTGCCTGGCCTATAAAATTTTCTAAAAGCTATAAGCATATATGTAGCTTGCAAGGATCTCCAGCAAACTATGACAGTGGCTGTCTCTCAGGAGGGGGGGCAGCTACACCAAACACATGAGGAACTACAGATATGGCCGGACCTGAGATGGCTCTGTGGCAAAGGAGGCTACCTGGATGGAAAGCCAATCTGAGAAGTCTGATTTTTATCCCAATGGCAATAGGGAGCCATGAAGGGGTTGTAAGCAGCAGAGTGTTCTGAGCAAATCTGCTTTTTAGAGCAAGCCCCTGACGTGGACAGGTGATGAATTGTGGGGGAGGGAGGCTGTTGACGGCGGGCAAGCCAGAGGCTGCCTCAGTGTCCCGTTGAGAGCCATGAGGCTAGACTAGACCTCCACACCTCAGATGTCTCTCGAGAGCCTACTTTTCCCTGCCAGACACTATTGGTAGGCCCGAGGAGAAAGCAGGGAACACAGTGGACAAATCCTCTGCCTTTAGGGAGCTCACGGGGGTGAGAGAGCCAGGTGGACAGGAAGGAAGACGAATGTAAGTCAGACAGTGGCTCATGCTATGGCAAAAATGAAACTGCTTAAGGAGATAGAGGGATGGTGGGGAGAGGGATACTTCAGATTGGGTGGTCAGAGAGGGCCTCTCTGAGGAGGAGGGTTTTTTTTTTTTTTGAATTGAAGTCTCTGTTGCCCAGGCTGGAGTACAGTGGCATGATTATGACTCACCACAGCCTCCAACTCCTGGGCTCAGGCGATCCTTCTGCCTCAGCCTCCCGAGTAGCTGGGATTACAGGTGTGTGCCACCACGCCTGCCTGGCTAATTTTTTATTTCTTGTAGAAACAAGGTCTGTTGACCGGGCTGGTCTTGAACTCCTGAGCGCAAGCCATCCTCCCACCTTGGCCTTCCAAAGCGTTAGGATTATAAGCATGAGCCGCCATGCCCGGCCAGGAGGTGACATTTGAATGCAGTCCTGAATTAAGTGAAGGAGCAACCCGTGCAAAAATTGCGAGATGAGGGTTTCAGGCGGAGGGAACAGCAAGTCCAGGAGCCCTCAGATATTTAGGTAGGAGTGAGACTGATGTGCCCAGGGAACAGCAAAGAGGCCAGTGTGTGGCAGGAGCACATCAGTTGAGGGGAAGGTGCTGGGAGCTGATTTCCCAGAGGTGGCCGGGGCCGGCTTGTGGAGCACAGACAGAGCTTTGGGGAGTCACTGGGGGGTTGAGAGCAGGAGAGCAGAGTGGCATGACGTGTCTTGGGACTGGAGGAGGGAGTCTCAGTCGGCCAGCAGGACAGAGTGTGGCTGTGGGTGGGTAAGGGGAGAGCAGCACTCCCGGGACTCCGCCTGGCGGCCTGGCGGCGCTGGGCCGCTCAACCCGCCTGGACCAGCTACAGCAATTTCATCACCCACATCCCAGCATCCCAGCCCCCTCTGGGAATGGAAGGATCCTTCACAAATCAAAATAGCAGGCAAAGAACAGCCTCTAATTGTTCTGCGTAAGAGCAGAGAAATTAGACGAGTCAGCTGTGGGGTTGAGTCCGCCTCCCACACAGCTGTGATCCCGCACCCGCTGAAGACACACTTCCTGAGACTTGCAGTTCTGCTGTCTCCGAGCAAAACTTTTTGCTTCTCCAGCCCTAGCCAGAGCAAATGACAGCCATTTGGGAGGGAGTGGGACAGATGCTGGCCCAGGAGGACAATGAGTGAGTCACTTTTTTTAATAACACTTCTTGCAAGAATAGCCTTAGCTGATGTGAGTTTGTTCAGTCATTCCAAACCATTGAGTGCCCTCATCCTTGGGGTTCAGGGCTGGGCGTGAGATCAGAGAGAACCTTTGGGGGAGAGGAGAGAGAGCGCCTGGAGTCAGGAGGTCCCAGTTCTCGCCTTGGCTCTTCCATGGTGTGACCTTGGTTGAGTCATGTCCCTCTCTGGGTTTGTTTTCCTGTCTCTCCCAATATGGTTTTTAGGCTACACAGTGATTCTCAAACTTTAGAGTTCATAAAAATCCCTGGGGGTGGCGAGGCGTGCTTGGTAAGGATGCAGATTCCCTTAGCCGGGTGCGGTGGCTCAAGCCTGTAATCCCAGCACTTTGGGAGGCCAAGGCGAGAGGATTGCCTGAACCCAGGGGTTTGAGATCAGCCTGGGCAACTTGGTGAGACCTCGTCTCTACAGTAAATCAGGAAAAGTTAGCCAGGTATGGTGGCACATGCCTGTAATTCCAGCTGCTTGGAAGGCTGAGACGGAAGGATCAACCTAAGCTCAGGAGACTGAGGCTGCGGTGGCCATGAGCATGCCACTGCACTCCAGCCTGGATGACAGTGTGAGACTCCAACTCCAGTTCAAGATCAAGTCTCAGGTGGGGTCCGAAATTTGCATTTCTCACGGGCTCTTCTGGTAATTCTGAAGGGAGTCCTTGGACCACACTTCAATAAAACCATTTCCTCTCCATTTGTCGGAGCTCTTTCTGCTCTGAAATTTGAGGAGTCACTCATGCAACACTTCTCTGGTCTCTCAGATCATTCCAGGGCATGAAAGAAGTGTCAGGCTGGGCATGGCTCTTCACCACTATAATCCCAGCATATTGGGAATCCGAGGCGGGAGTATCACTTGAGGCCAGGAGTTCAATACCATCCTGGGCAACATAGTGAGACCTCATCTTTACCTTAAAAAAGAAGAAAGAGAGAGACAGAGAAAGAAAGGAAAAGGAGGGGAGGAGAGGATAAGAAGAAGGGAGGGCAGGAGGAGAGGAAGAAAAAAGGGAAAGAAGAAAGGGAAGGAAGGAAGAAAAGAAAGAAGGAAGGGGCGTGTGTTTTGTGCCTCAGTGTGCCTGTGTGTTGCTATGATGACACCGTACTGGGTCAGTCTGGTTCCATGTATGCAATCTCTCCCAGGCTACCCCATGCCCAGCCCAGGCCCTGGTACAGAAGGGGCGGTGGCTGTAAATGTTGGCCAAATGAGAGGTCAGCTGTCATGTAGACAGCTGTGCAGGGCATAGGGCATGGAGGGATGGTGGGGTTGTCAGATGCGGAGTTTGGCTGCAGACATCTGGCTAGGGCCCCTGGGCTCATGGCCTGGGTTGGTGTATGACTCTGTCACCTGCTTCCCTTTCCCACACACTGTGAGTGGGGCACCGTGACTTCTCAAAGAGGTGAGTCCAGTGGCATGGGGATAAGAAGACCTGGATGGAGCCACAGGGAGAACTGGGAACCCTGGTGTACCATCGAGGACACCCAGGGAATCTAAGGCTCCAGCCAGTCTGTTAGGCGGTGTCCCTTCCTTGGAGTTGGCCAATCATATTTCCAAAAGAGCAGGTCAGTGGCAGGAGCTGGAGGGTCAGGTCCCTCTGGCCTAGCCTTCAGCTCCATTCTTCATATATGAAGAATGATAACAGCCATTATGTCCTGAGTGCTAACCATGCCTTGGACTCAGGGCTAAGTGCTATCTTACTACACTTTCACAATCAGCCTGAGAGGTTGGTACAAGTATCATCCCGCTTTTTGCAGTTATGGATGCTGAGGCTTAGAGCGTTCAACTTATTACCCAGAGTCACTCAACTAAGCAATAGTAGAGGCAGACTTAGAACCCAGATCTGTTTTCTTCCAGAGTCAAGTTTTCTCTTTGACCATATTGCTTAGTACTGCTCAGAAAGTAAGGATTTTCTTCCCTCAAATACCTTCTTCCAGAGTCACCCACAGCCAGAGAAATCTTTTTGCCTCTGGTGTAGTGGAAAGAGGTGATACTGAATGAGACAGTTTAGGGTTCTAGTTCTACCTCAGATCCTGACCTTTTGTGTGACCTTGGGCAAGTCACTTTACCTCCCTGAGTGTTTTTTTTTTTTTTTGAGTTGGAGTCTCACTCTGTCGTCCAGACTGGAGTGCAGTGGCCGCTCCCGTCCACCGCAGCCTCGACCTGCTGGGCTCCGGCGATCCTTCTGCCTCAGTCTTCCAAGTAGTCAGA